GCCACCCTGGGCTGGGGGAGGCAGGGCTGTTCTCCCTGTGCCCCCCTGGAGGTCCCTGTGTGTCATCGGGCACTGGCACCATCCCTGTGAGCTGGGTGGGGGCTTATCCCCCTGGAAATGTGACAAGTGGGGCCTTGTTTGGGGACAGAGCCCTGGTCACTGTCCCATGGGCTGGTCCCTGGGGATCCCACCCCTGATCCCCCCCATCAGGCTCCGTGCTGTCCCTCGGGGTCCGGCCCAGCCCCTGACCCCGTCCCACCCTCAGACGACAAACAGGTGCTGCAGAACCTGAAGCGAATCCTGGCCAAGGTGCAGGAGATGCGGGACCAGCGCATGTCCCTGGAGCAGCAGCTGCGGGAGATGATCCAGAAGGATGACATCACCACCTCTCTGGTCACCACCGACCGCTCTGAGATGAAGGTGGGGCTGGGGACACCCCCGTGTGCCCCTTGGGGGCTGCTCCTGCCCTGAGCCCCACGAGCCCTCCCCTGTCCCAGCAGAAACTCTTTGAGGAGCAGCTCAGGAAGTACGACCAGCTGAAGGTGTACCTGGAGCAGAACCTGGCGGCGCAGGAGAACGTGCTCAAGGCCCTGACCGACGCCAACGTCAAGTACGCGGCCGTGCGCAAGGGCCTGGCTGAGGTGGAGCACAAGTGAGTGTGGGGGGCTCCCCCCTGGCTTCTCTGGTCCCACCCCTCTGCTGGGCGCTGTGCTGGTGGCTTTGTCCTGCCCCCTGCCCATCCCAGGGGGAGCTGGAGGGTGCCCCAGAAGCCTGGAGCTGGGACCCACCTTGATCCCAGCATTCTATCCCCTCTGTGCCCCTTTTCCAGGTGGAACACCACCGTCCAGACGCTGGTGGCCTCCTACGAGGCCTATGAGGACCTGATGAAGAAGTCCCAGGAGGGGAAGGATTTCTACACGGACCTGGAGGGGAAGGCGGCCAAGCTGCTGGAGCGGGCGCGGGCCGTGTGCCAGGCCAGCCAGGCCCAGAGGCAGCAGCTGCTCGAGAGGTGGGTGCTGCCCAGAGCCTGGGAGCTGGGGAGACCCCCAGGAGGGGGGAAAGGCCTTGGGCTGCTCTGCTTTCTGTGGGGGTCCCAGTGCCCATGGAAGGGGTGGTGGGTGGGCAGTGCCTGGCCCCCCCTGAGCTCCACCTGCCCCCCCAGGGAGCTGAAGAAGCAGCCGCCCCCCCGGCCGACGGCCCCCAAGCCCCCCCTGCAGAAGAAGGCGCTGGAGCTGGAGCCCGGGGGCTCCGAGGCCGCCGATCTGGGCTCCCTGGGGCTGCCGGACCTGCCCGAGGAGCTGCGGAGCCTCCCCCCGGAGCTGCTGCCCGGGCCCCTGGCACAGCTGCCCCCCCCAGCGCTGGCCGCCCTGGCCGGGGGGCTGCGGCCCCCTGAGCCCTTCGTGCCCCCTGGGGGGGTGGCCAGTGCCCCGCTGCCCCCTCTGGCCCCCACACCCCCGTTCCCGGGGCACTACCGCCTGCCCGGGTCCCCCAGCCCCTTTCCCCCTGCGGGGGGGGCCCCAGGGCCGCTCCTGCAGCCCTCGGCCCCGGCCGTGCCGGCGCCCAGCTCGGCCCCTGCCCAGCTCTTCCCGGCCGCCCCCCTGATGCGTGCTCCGGGACAGCCAGCGTTTGGGGGGCCCCACGTGTTGCCCCCGCGCTCATCCCCCCAGCACGGGGCCCTGCCCGCCCCCGTCTATGGCCTGGGCCAGCCCGGGGGGGCCCCCGGCCCGCTCCGTCCCCCCGGCCCCGGGGCAGCTCCCCTGGGTGCCCAGGCGGGGGTGGGCGGCCCTGAGCCCCCGAGTGCCCGCCCAGCCACCACCACGGTGGACAGTGTCCAGGCCCCCATCTCCAGCTGCACCGCCCCTCCGCGGGGACCCCCCGGCCCTTTCCTGCCCCCCCAGCGCCCGGGGGGGCCCCCGGCCCCCTTCCCCTACCCTGCAGCGGGGGTTCAGCCCTTCGTGGCGCCGGCTCAGCACCCCTTTCCCCCGGCACAGCCCACCCACACCTTCGCCCCCACCCCGGCCCCCCAGCAGTTCCCCCCGGGGCCGTTCCTGCCCCCGGGCCAGGCCCAGGGCCCGCTGCCCTTCCAGCCGCCCCCCCGGCCCTCCCTGGCCCCTCCAGCCCAGTTCCCCCAGCATCCCTTCGCCGGTCCCGGGGGGCAGCTGCCCCCCCCCGCCCCCGGGCAACCCCCGCTGCCCCCCCAGCTCTACCAGCTCCCAGGGCAGGACCAGCTGCCCCCGCCGGGGCTCGCCCCGCACCCGGGGGCCGTGCCCTTCCCCAGGGCCCCTGCCCAGGGCGGTCCCCCGGCGCTGGGGGGGCTCCCGGCGGTGCCCCCCGGCTCCCCCGCGCTGCCCTTCTGCCCCAGCCCGGCCCCTGCCACCGCTCAGCTGCCCCCCGGCTCCATGGCCGCCCCCAGCCAGGCGCCCCCTCCCAGCCCCGTTCCGGGCACCGTGGTGGTCCAGGGCCCCCTGGTGCCATCCCCGGCTCCCTCCCCGGTGCCAGCCCTGCCCGTGCAGCCCCCCACGCCGCGCCCCCCGCCCGCGCTGCCGCCGCCGGGCGCTGGGGACGCTCCGTTCCCACGGCAGAGCCCCTGCCCCGCCGACCTGCTGTCGTCCAGCCCCGAGAGCCAGCCCGGGGGGGCGGCGGCCGGGGGGCTGCTGCAGCCCACCAAGGCGGGCGCGCAGGAGGGGCAGCGGCCGCGGGCCGTGCAGGTGATCGAGGCGGACCCGTACGCGGAGCCGGAGCGGGTGCAGCGGCTGCGGGCCGAGCTGGAGCGGTTCCGGGCCGCGGCCGAGCGGCTGGAGAGACCCGCGCCCGGCGGCGGCTCCGAGCTGGACGCGCTCTGGAAGGAGCTGCAGGAGGCCCAGGAGCGGGACGCCCGCCAGCGCTCCATCGCCATCGCCCGCTGCTACTCCATGAAGAACCGGCACCAGGACATCATGCCCTACGACCGCAACCGCGTCGTGCTGCGCTCGGGCAAGGACGACTACATCAATGCCAGCCGCGTGGAGGACCTGTCCCCGTACTGCCCCGCCCTCATCGCCACCCAGGCCCCGCTGCTCGGCACCGCCGCCGACTTCTGGCTCATGATCTACGAGCAGAAGGTCTCCGTGGTCGTCATGTTGGTGTCCGAGCAGGAGCTGGACAAGGTGCGTCCCGTCCCGGGTGGGGACAGCGGGGTTGGCCGAGGCAGGGATGGGACACCGTGCCCGGTGCCTCTCGCCCTGGTGTTGCTCACGGGTGTCACCGGGGGGGTCCCGCGTGGGGGATGGCCCCGGCAGGGTATCCTGACGCCCGTCCCCCGGCAGAAAGTGCTGCGGTACTTCCCGTCGGAGCGGGGCCAGCCCGTGGCTCACGGGCCCTTGACCCTGGTGCTGACCAGCCTGCGGGTGACCCCCACGCACGTGGAGCGGATGCTGACGCTGCAGTACCGCGACCAGAGCCTCAAACGCACCGTGGCCCACCTCCAGTTCACCTCCTGGCCTGAACTGTAAGGAACGGGGGGGCAAGGGAGGGTTGGAGGGTGACAGGGCGGGGGAGGAGGGCCTGGGAGCCCTGATGTGCTGTGGGGGCTGTGGGACCAGAGCTCTGAGTGTGGGAGGGTGTTTGGGCAGCCCTGACCCCTCCTGGGGGACTGAACGTGAGTGTGTCCCCCCCAATCCAGGGGCCTGCCCGACAGCAAGGGGAGCCTCCTGCGCTTCATCCAGGAGGTGCACGGGCACTACCTGCACCAGCGCCCGCTCCACACGCCCGTCGTGGTGCACTGCAGGTGAGCGGGGCCGGGGCTCCCGGGGCGGGCTGGGGTTCCCCCGCATCCCTCGGGGTGTCACAGCCGGGGGGTCTCTCCGCAGCTCCGGCGTGGGCCGCACGGGGGCTTTCTGCCTGCTGTACGCGGCCGTGCAGGAGGTGGAGGCCGGGAAGGGCATCCCGGACCTGCCGCAGCTGGTGAGGCGGATGCGGCAGCAGCGCAAGCACATGCTGCAGGAGAAGGTACCGGGCGGGGGCTGCAGCACCCCGGCAGCTGGGGACAGGGGCTGCAGCCCTCGGGCTCTCACCGTGTCCCTCTCCCCTGCAGCTGCACCTCAAGTTCTGTTTCGAGGCCGTCCTGTTGCACGTGGAGCAGGTGCTGCTGCGCCACGGCGTGGGAACTCCCGTACTGCCCAAGCCCCCCAACAGCACCTCACCCAAGGTGAGTACAGGGGAGAGTACCGGGGCGGTGGGGAGGGCTCTGCCACCCCTGGGCTCACGGGGCTGCTCTCCCTCAGCTCTACTTCCAGCAGGACCCCCAGGACCTGGTGCTGGGGGGGGACGTTCCCATCAGCTCCATCCAGGCCACCATTGCCAAGCTCAGCATTAAACCGGGGGGGCCAAGCACAGAGCCCGGGGGATCCTGGGGGGCAGATCCCACCCCCCCTCCGGACCCCACGGACCCCGAGGTGCTGCCAGTGCTTCCCGACGGTGTCATGGATGGTGTTGGTGCCCCCATCTCTGAGCCCCCGGCCCCAGGGCCGCCCCTCCCCGAGGCACAGGGTGACACCGAGAGCAGCAACCACGTGGGGGAGAGCCCTGAGGGGCCTGCGGGGCCGCCAGAGCCCCCCGCCGCCCTCCCTGCCTCCTCCTCCTCCTCGCTGGAGCTGCTGGCGTCGCTCACGCCCGAGGCCTTCAGCCTGGACGCCTCCCTGAAGGGCAAACAGCGCATGAACAAGCAGAACTTCCTGCAGGCGCAGCCGGGCGAGGGGCTCCGCGGGCCCCGGCCCAGCGACGACCCCCTGAGCATGCTCGACCCCCTCTGGACACTCAACAAGGCGTGAGGGGGCCGGGGGCCCCCCCCCCAGCCCCACTTTGACTCCAGGTAGAACTGACTTTTTCAGCTCTTTGCTACTAAAATAAAGCGAGTTTATCGGCCGGGCCCTGGTGCTGCTGCGGGCGGGGGCTGTGCCCGGGGGGATCAGCACCCCGGGGAGGTCAGTGCCCTGGGTGGGTCAGTACCTCAGGGGCTCAGCCAGGCTCGGGTTAGTTCCGTTTAATGGGCGTTCTCGCACACGTTATAAAACACGGTCGGTACAAAAAGCGTCCCCTGTACAGCACAAAGGTACAGCTGGGCGAAGGCCACCCGCGGGGGCCGGCCTGGGGGGCCCGCCGGGGCTGCAGGGCCCCCGGGGCTGGGCCGGCACCGCCTCTACAATCACCGGGGGTCAAGAATAGGCGTCATCGGCGTTGGGGGGCACAGCAGGACAGGTGAGGACCCCCGGCCTGGGGAGGGGCTGCGGCGGGGCCTGTAGTGCAGTGGGGCAGGGGAGCGCAGCCCTCAGCCCGTGGTGGGTGGGGGGCTCTGGGGGCAGCTCTGTGCCCGGGGCGGTGCCTGCCCGTGGTTGGTCCCACTCGGGGGTCCCTCGGGTGCCCCCCCTGCCCAGGGGTCCCTCCCCAGCACCTGCAGGAGGGTGGGCGAGGCTCCCGGCCCTCCCAACCTGAGAAAAGCCTCCTCTGGCCCCGCAGTGGGAGGAGGAGGAGGAGGAGGAAGGTGCTGTTGCTGCAAATGGGGCGCAGGAGGGGCCGGGCAGGGCGGCTGTGCCAGGGTGAGGGGGGTGCTGGCCCCCCGCGCCCCCCTGCCCCAATAAATAATAACTAACTATTTACAGCATATAAATAAATAGGGCGGGGCTGCTGTGGCCAGGGCGGGGCTTGGGGCCCTGCCACGCCCTAAGGCACGTGGGGGCCGAGCCATACCCGGGGGGTTTGTCCCGGCCCTCTCCCCGCTGCCCCCAGGGCTCTCCAGGGGCTGTTCCGTGCCCTGGGCAGGTCAGTGCTGGGAGCCTCTGTCACTGCCTCCCCCCTCCTGCCCCGTGCCCCCCCTGTGTCCCTCTGCACCATCCCACTGCCCGGGAGCCCCCGGGACCACAGGGAAGGTGCTGGAACAGGGAGAGGAGCAGGATGGTGGGGCCCTGCCGGGTGTCCGGGGTGGGAAGGTGCCTGAGGCACAGCTGGAGCGATGGAGCCGCTGTCCCGTCCCCTCGGGCCGAGCCCCCCTCGGTCCCGCCTGGCCCTGCTCCTGCTCAGTCCAACTTCTCGAGCACCGAGGGCACGTAGAGCAGGCTGAGCTCGCTGCCGAAGTTGCAGACGATGGCGGCGTTGTCCAGCACCAGGATCTGCCGCGCCGGCTGCGCCTCGTTGCTCTTGCCCAGGTACACGGTCTGCAGCAGGTCCCCGTAGCCGATGTCCCAGAAGGACACGCAGCCCTGGCCCCCCGTCACCAGCACGTTGTCGGAGATGATGCCCAGGCTGGCGCCACAGCCCAGCTCCTGTGGGGGACAGGCAGGGTTGGGAATGGGAGAGAGCCGAGCCCTGGGTTTGGCATGGGGAGAGCTGACCCTGCAGGTTTGGAACAGGACAGAGCTCTGCTCCTGGGGAACAAGGGACAAAGACAAGAGGAAATGCCCTCAGGTTGCGCCTGGGAAGGTTTAGGTTGGGTACTGGGAAAATTCCTTCTTGGAAATGGTTGTCCAGCCCTGGCACAGCTGCCCAGGGCAGGGGTGCAGTCCCCATCCCTGGAGGGCTTTCCAAGCCCTGTGGATGTGGCACCTGGGGACATGGTGAGTGGTGGCCTTGGCAGTGCTGGGGAAGAGTTGGACTCCGTGGTCTCCGAGGGTTTTTCCAACCCCAGCAATTCCCCGATCCCCTGGTTCTCCCTCCCCAGGGCCCCCCAGGCCCCACCTGCTGGATGGAGTACAGTTTGGTGCCCGAGCTGCGGTCCCAGATGCTGATGACGTCGTCCAGGCCGCTGCTGATGACGCAGGACGTGGTGCAGGTCAGGGAGGTGACGTCCCCGCGGTGGGCGAACATGTGGCTCACCCGGCTGCCCGTCAGCACGTCCCACAGGCAGATGGCCCCGTCCTGGCCACCACTCGCCAGCACCATGGTCTGCAGGGACACCGGGCCAGGTCAGGACCCCGAGGCGGGGGGAACAAACCCCCAAGGCCACCAGGGCAGAGATACCTGAGTTCATTTACACAGGGCTGGACAGCACAGGGGGCTCCCCCTCCTCTTTCAGGGGGGTGGGGGCAGACCCTCCTCAGGGGCTCAGGCCCCATTTCGGCCTTGCTCACCCCCTGGCCTGGCAGTGCAGGAACAGGGGTTCCCTGCTCCAACAGGAGGGGCCCAGGTGAGTCCCTGGGGCTGAGCTGGTAGCTCAGGGGTGGGCTCGGGGATGGATCAGGGACGGTCCCCACACCCAGCCCCCTGTACCTGGTCCATGTACACGGCTGTGATGGCTCCTGAGTGGCCCTGCAGGGTGAAGAGGCAGCACGAGTCCTCCAGCCGGAACACCTGGGGCAGGACAGGCAGGTGAGAGCTCCGGGGCAGCTGCTGCAGGTGGTGCCACCTGAGCTCCCCACGACCCAGCAGATCCCACCTGATCCTTGTCCCGGCAGACCCAGAGCCTGGCAGAGATTCCAGAGGCCTCGGGATGGTGCTGCCAGGGCAGGGGGAGGTCACAGCTGTTGGGAGGTGACAGGGCAGGGCAGGGACATGCAAGGCTGAAGGGGACGGGGAGATGACAGGGGACACCCCAGAACACAGACCCTGACATTGGTGTTGGGTCACAGCCATCCCCTGCAGCTCCAGGACTGGGCAGTGTCTGGAAAGCTGGAAAAGGCCCTGGGGGTGCTGGTGGCAGTGGCTGCACCTGGGCCCAGGTGGGCAGGAGGGCAGTGGCACGTGGTTTGTGTCACCACAGTGTAGCCACAGGCCCAGGGCACTGCTGAGGCACCTCCAGTGCTGGGGGCAGTTCTGGGGACTCCACTACAGGACATGGAGGGGCTGGAGCGTGTGCAGGGAAGGGAAGGGAGCTGGGAAGGGGCTGGAGCAGCAGGAGCAGCTGAGGGAGCTGGGGGGGCTCAGCCTGGAGAAAAGGAGGCTCAGGGGGGACCTTCTGGCTCTGCAATCCCTGACAGGAGGGGGGAGCCGGGGGGGGTCGGGCTCTGCTCCCAAGGAACAGGGACAGGAGGAGAGGGAACGGCCTCAGTGGGAGGTTCAAGTTGGATACTGGGAAAATTCCTTCATGGAAAGGGCTGCCTAGCCCTGGCACAGTTTTCCAGGGTAGTGGTGGGGTCCCCATCTCTGGAGGGATTGCAAAGCCCTGTGGATATGGCACTTGGGGATGTGGGTCAGTGGTGGCCTGGGCAGTGCTGGGGGAACATTGCACTCAGTGGTCTCAGAGGCATTTTCCAACCTCTGTAATTCCATGATCCTCTGAAGTCACCCATCCCTAAGGCCTGGGGATCCCACACTCAGCTCAGGGTGACGCTCACAGGCTCTGTCCTTCCAACTCCACTGGTGCCACATCCAGGCACGGACAGAGCCCGCGGAGCTTCCGGAACGTGCTGGGTTGGCTCCAAGCCCGTCCCCAACCTCCCCCTCCCTGTGCACGGACAGCTCAGCTGTGCCCCTGAGCCCAGCCCAGCCGTGTCCCCACAGCCCCCGAGCCCAGCCCAGCCGTGTCCCCACAGCCCCCCCTGAGCCCAGCCCAGCCCCTGTCCCCACAGTCCCTGTCCCCA